AATCAATTCAATAGTAAGGAGTTCATATTTGTATTTATTTAAAAATTATGAATTTGAATATCCACTTGAGTTTTTCAAATTCAAACTCGAATGCTCTGTATTTTTCACAGATATTAAAGTATATATGTTTTCCTAAGGAATTTGATTTTCAAATAGTATTTAGATTTAAAATTTAAAATTAATCATTTAGAACCATAACGTACATAAACTTAATTCAAATATTTTGTAAGAAAATTGACTCTTTAAGTCTCTCAAAATTAGTATATAGAACTTAAGTAGAAACTGTAAATGGGCTGAAAAATATATCAAGTGTGTAATAGTACAAATTATAAGCGATCAAATTGTAAACGAATATTTGATAAGCAAACAAATTGAATATACATCTAGTTAAAATTCTATTGGTTTATGAATTACTAAGTTGCATGGAAATTCGTACGGGTACTAGCATGGGCACGAGACAAGGTAAAATTGTAAAATGTAGGGTGCGAGGACATGGCTACATATATATATATATATATTAAAATTAATAAATTACAGAGATGATTATTGTTTCTCAATTCATGTGTTGTTACTTGTTAGAATTGAAATTTCAATCACATTTATAAATTGAAACTGCTTGTTTTTGAACTAGACACTCAGACGACCATTTACAATCATAGTTTCGAACTTACGTATGGGCTAAAACAAACTTAACTCATTTCTAATGAGTTCTGAAAAATGCACGTGATGTGAGGATATACATCCAAGAACAGTACGACAAGTGTTTTAAATTAGAACATATATCATATAATTGAGTACATGTTTGAATAAATTTATGCATATATCCAAGGAGTGTCTATGAAGTTTCGATACGGGAACGTGTTGGGTACGTGTCAGGTATGAGTACGGCTTCATGATAGAAATACCCGGATAATATACATGAATTCGAATACTAAAACTTATTTGTCTAGTGTTAAATGACCTACCAAATCAAATATAATCGAATAGTTTCTCAAACAATTAACAAATTATTTGTTCATTAATTGGTTCGTTAACACCTTGCACGAGTTTTTTTTGGGTGGTGGTGGTTTGGGGGGGGGGGGGGG